CCACAATTATATACGGCATTGCCTTTCTGAATGTAAGGAGTTAAATATCCTGGCCTTGGACCTGAAAATACTGTTCTTTCTCAGAAAGCAAGTTGGTATAGACTGCTACACTCTGGATGAAAAGGCTCCTAATTATTTGGGATTAAAATCAGCGAAAAGCCTCTACATTTTTCACAAGATTACCATGCGAAACAGACCAAATTTTTGCTATAATACAGAGATTTTCTCAAGTGTTATTTTACTAAATACTTTCACTAAATTTCTATTATTATGTTTTTATGTTTTTTTATACATTATTACATGCACAATTGTTAAATCGCATAACGGAATTTAGCCTTGATTGCTAAATAGATTTCATGTCTGTAAATAATAACACTTATATTGATAAACTATTTGATTAAAGAAATTAACGTGTATATCATTCAAAGGAACTTATTGTGAACTGTTTATTAATAATTTATGTGCATAAATTCTTCATTAATCTTGATGCGAGAATACTATTCACACCGCTTTGCTAATTTTGAGTCCAAAATATCAGACAAACATTTTTACTGAGCCAGCACAAGATCTCAATAAAATACCGACAATAAGCCTAACTTTATATCAGTTTATGCTAACTAGAAGACATTCGCTTATCTGCTTTTTAGGCCAGACTCAAAATCGAAGCTGGTTGTTTTCTGATTGATGCGTTAAAAGGTCTTCCTGAAACTGTGACGAAGTTGTGAAAACAAGATCGAACAACAGCTATACAACGAAAGGAGACCGCGACCATACAAAGGCCCCACCATCTTTGTCTTCATTCCTTCGACTAAAAGGATTGGAGTTGATTAACGGAGTTATAATTATTCAGCGGCCCAGCTTAACCAAAAAATTGAAAAAATCTTTGAGGTGATTCCTCTCGGGAAGCGTCTAATAGCAATCTTATGCTTTAGTGAGACAAGGACTATACGAACAGGATGCCTGGAAAATAAATTCTTATGCACCTTCAATCTTTAAAACCATGACTTTATCGAAGTAATAGCAATCTTGAAGTAGGATGCTATATTTTTGGAATCCACTTTGAATTGAATAGAGTAGATGAGATATGAGGCAAAATTGTCTTTAACTTGTCAACACGACTCCTACCCTATTTCAGGAAAAACATAAAATGCTCACTAAAATGAAAATAATAAATTTATTGTGCGATTGTTACGTCAGAAACACTTGCATTTTCTCTCCGTGTCATCAGGAATGAAGTACTACCTAGAGACGTTGCCTCTGAGATAGCCACAGGCTTCATTAAGGACGTGGTAGACTATTGCGCGATCCTCAACAACGAGGAGGAGAAGCTAAATGAGACTGAATTGCAATCTGCCTATCATCAAGCCAAGGATATGCTTGAAGTGTTGAGCTACTTGGGTGTGGAGGACAAAGTCGAAGAAGAAGTTATCGAAGTAAGTAATCCGAGGTTTGATATACTTTTCTAGGTAACTAATATCAAAATTCCCGCGTCTTTTCGCTGTTGCTAATTATCTCTTCCCATTCGCATATTTCGTAGCATCCTAGTGATTGTATTGGAAAATTTATTTTGTATTTAATTTTGGAGAAGTGAGTTTCATTTGTTAGCCCTAGATGAAGG